GAAGAAGAAGAAGAAGAAGAAGAACAGTGACAAACCGCGATTGGATGCTGAAATGGGCTTTGTCCAGCCTGGCTTTACAACCAAAGTCATGGCTGACCTATCTGCCTGGCGAGGTGAGGCTGCTTTCTGGGGAGGGGTGCCCACGGGCCCAAAGCACTGGAGAAGCCCGGGGGGTCCAGCCCCCAGACTGCTCTTCCCATCGGCTGCTCTTCTCTCCCGGAACCTGGAGAAGATTCCTTTTGGGCTTTAGGGATTTGCCATCTTGAGAACATGGTTCACATGTGGCTTCAGGAAGATGCTCCAGATCACCTTTCCCCTGGCATCTTGCCAAAGTAGGGGGTGGGCAGGTGGGACTGCACGTCAGGCCCAGAGAGCTGGGCAAAGTATGTGGAGGTGGGCGGCACTTCCAGCAAGAGGGTTAGATGTGAGTTCTTAGAACTAATGATTTGACCTCTCCAGTCTCCTGGTCTGCAAAACAGGGGGTTCCGGACTTGTGGAATACCCACAAGGTCACCTGCAACTCTGACTGTATCTTCTGACTTTGCAGCCCTCCCGGCGTCCATGTTCATGAGCACATGTGCACTTCCTCAGTTGCCTGGGCTGCTGTCGCAAACCGGAAGAGACCCACAGGCTTAAGTCAACAGAATTCTATGCACCTTGTCACACTTTAAAGTGAGGCTACAAGTCCAAAATCAAGGTGTTGGCTGGGCCACGCTTTATCTGAAGGCTAAATCCTTCAGATGAACTAGGGGAGATAAACTAGGGGAGAATCCTTGCTGGCCTTGCCCCAGTGCTGGTAGTTCCTGGCAATGCTTGGTTTTCCGTGGGTTGCAGCCACATCTTGCAGTTTTTGCCTCTGTTGTCACATGGTCTTTTTCCCTGTGGGTCTTCGTCTCCAAATCAAGTTTTCTTTATAAAGATACCGGTCATTGGAGTTAGGGCTCACTGTAACGCAGAATGCCCTCGTCTTATTGATTACAGCTGCAAAGGCCCTCTACCAAAATAAGGTCACACATTCCAAGGGTCCTGGTGCACATGATTTAGGGAACACTATTCAACCTCGTTTGAGTTCGGACACCAAGTGTCTTAAGAGTTCCAGTCTTGGCCCTGTGGGTCACAACTGCTCTATGGGCAACTGTTCTTTTTACCTCCTGAAATGGGTCCCTCTCCTGTGGAAGCCTTGCTATAACCACCCTATTCTTGGTTTCCTAAATGACAGGAGAGAATTATCATCTTCATAATACCGGCATTTTTAGGTTTGTGTAGGACTTAGAACCTTTCAAACACATTCCCACATACTATTGCATTTGATGCTCATAACATTCTTGTGAAATAAACAAGATAGATTTTATTGTTCCTGGTTGACAGGTAGCAAAGCCAAGGCTCAGAGATGTTAAGCCATTTGCCCAAAGTCACACAGCTTGTATACACAGCAGAACCCTGATGTCTCAGCTTTACACCCACTGTTCTTTGCATTATTGTCATGGGATCCCAAATCTCTACTTGCAAACTCCGTGACACCAGCACCAGGAATCCAGACTCTTGGTACTTTTCCCATGCTCTACCACCGCCCAAAAAAGTGAATAAAGGGACGCCTGGGTTGCTTTTTTGGTTAAGTGTCTGCCTTCTGTTCAGATCATAATCCCAGGGTCCTGGTATCAAGTCCCACATTCAGTTCCTTGGTCAGCAGGGAGCCTACTTCTTCCTCTGCCCTGCCCCCTGCATGGCTCTCTCTCTCTCTCTCTCTCTCTCTGATAAATAAATAAATAAATAAATAAAATCTTAAAAAAAAAACAAAACAAAAACCAACTTTTGACTATAGTGACTATAGTCCCAGTGGCTTCCCTATACCCAGAATGTGTTTACAGCTAACTGTAAGCCTGGTTATAATGCAAGAGCAGCTTCTCACCGAGCTCAATTTGTACTCCTGGCAGCTGAGCATTGAATGCCGCCCCCTGGTTAACCACAGATTGGCCTCCTAAATCAGGAATGAAATTCAACCAAGGTGAATATTTGTGAAATTGGAAATTGTTGCTCATAATTATAATTCCATCATTTTATGCCCATCCTTTTATGGGCAGGCCTACGAACCGTCCGTGCAGCACAAGCTACCAGCTAGAGCCAAAGTTCTGGCCGCAGCGATGTGGTTCACGAAGGTGGAGCTATTCTGGTCGCTTCCCTCACAATGGGCTCTTGTTCACAGCCTTGAGCACCGGGACACCTGCTTATTACCTCACAGACGGAGGTAATAAGTGATGACATTTGGTTCACAGGTGGGTGTGACATTTTCCCACTCCAGGAAACCTCTGCCTTCCACTTTCTCGTGCTCTCCCACCCGCCCTGGCACTGTGTGCTTGGTAACTGGGGACAGTGGGCCAGTGGGCACCTGGGACTGACCCGCTGAGCTCCAGGACCCTCCCACGCTCTGCCGCCCACCACTTCCCGGCCCGTTCCTGCTGAGACTCAGCCCTTCTTGGCCGGCACCTGCAGAAGGGGTAGCCACACCCCAGAAGCACACGCGTTATTCACCAAATTCCCTCTGAAATTGACCTATGGGCCTGGTATTTTAAGTGCGTGGGTGTGGAGGGTGAAAGATGCTCAGGTGTTTTTCCCAGCGAACTGCAGTCGGAACAGTAGGTCAGAGGACAGCAAAGGAGAGCGGGCCGGCTCAATCACAGCCACCCCAAGAGGGGACCAAATGCAGGACCAAAGGCAGTGGCAGGAGGATGCTGCTGCTGTAGAGACAGCCAAGGTTCACCCTTGCAGCCTGGAGACAGTTCTTGCCAGGAGAGGCTCGAGGGCTCCCCGCAGCCCTAGCTTTGGCACCAGGAGGCAAGCTGGGGCCTTGGCCAGCGCACAGGTGACCCTGGGTGAGCTACAGCTCTGGGTCCCCCAG